GCGACCGGCAAGCTTAGATATGCAACATAAGCACAACATAGGGATAGAAAGCATGCCATCCAAACCTGTTATAGTGACATCGTCAATGCACTTCCGAGAAATATAGCAATAAACTCGCAATAAGCTATCTTGCCATGCCACATGGGTAGGGGAGTTCTCTAGGTCCGTGACAGACGTGTGGGTAGATAATTTGTGCTAAACAAATGTTTTTCTGCTAGTCATGAGGAGCACTCTCCACTTCTTTGTTTTCTTGTTTATGTAAAATTTGGTGCACTTTATTTATCAAATCACTTAGTTTATTCTGCTTCTAGGATTATGATAATGTTGAAGACACCATTTTAATAAAAATGTGTCCCTACCCTAGCAGCCAGCTTAAACTATAGATGAGTTTGTTAAAGCCTTATCAGAGCTTCGTAAAATAGCTGAGTTCAAGTCTCGCTATCGCTCATTTATGAATTGTCGTGTCAGGCTTTGGTCATATAAGTTAAGCTTGCACGTGAAGGGCCACATTTAAATAAATAAATGTCCCTATCTACCAAGTGGTTAACAGATAGCGGTTGAACTGCAGGAGACGTATAAACATCAATGAAATGTTAGAGGCCATAAGGGCAGCTTTGCGCCATTGTCAAGATATTACCGGCTTACTGGGAACATCTGCAGGACCATGATGAAGTCTGGTGATTGCCAATAATTTTCAGGTGGCTGATGTCAAATTGTAATAGTCTGATACTTGATTTTGGACGAACTCGACCGGCGTGCTTCAAGTCAAAAATCCTGATCTGTGTTGTGGCTATCTCATGCCTGAAATGAGCCATCATGTACAGATTCTAGCAATCGAACTGTTAATTCATCAAGCACCTTGAGGTTCCCCAGATTTGGGCAGTATGGGCAGCTTGTGTTTTGTATGGACTTCTTTTCCATTTTTTTTTCCCTGTTAAAAAATTGGNNNTTTTTTTTCCCTGTTAAAAAATTGGTTTGATGTAACAATGAGGTTGCAGATCTCTGAATATGTTGCTGAATTGATGGGCTAGCATGGTAATCCAGATGACATTTTATGCAATTATTAGCCCTTATATCTCAAATTTTGGACCCAACAGAGTGGCATAGTTGATTTATTGAGAATAGTTTGTTGTTGTTGGCTTGCTTATTAACTTGCTTGGAATGGACTTATATTTATAGAGATGGATGGTTCAGTCTAAATTCGTTCAGATAGGGCATAAAATTTCTAATAAATTAAGCAACCCATTAATATTGCTAACATATAACATATAAATAACCATATGGGATTTGCATGCTTAGACCCCCACCCCACCCCACCCCACGGTCCCACCCCACCCCCCTTAAGAAAGCTTTCATACACACTTCAAGCCTTTCTACATAAGCATAATTGAACTCATCAGCGTTTTCGTTTCCAGCAAAGACTGTAAGTTAATATTTGGACTTTTTGCGGGTCAAGCATTTTCCGTTGACTGAGATATCAGTGGCTGAGCGAGCGAGGACTTGATTTGATTGGTTATTGTTCGGTTGCTACCGTGGTTCACATCTGATAGAATCGCAGCATTTGGCATTGAGAATTTACGTTCTTCGTTTTTGCCCCACAGGACAAGGTATAACCCTACTATGATCAACACTGCTCCAATTATCCTGTGCAATCGCAGCCACATGTAAACCATTAAAACTGACCACTAAAAAGATCAAAGTAGTGAGAAAAGTTAAAGTTAAATTCAAATTCGTTAAAAAAAATTTTCCAATGAGAACTCTTGGTTGGAAAGATAAGAGTTCCCTTTTTTGATCGGGTCTAGGGACGAACAAAAGAGAGGTGTAGTATAAGGCATTTGAGGTGTTGAACAGACATATCTGAGTATGAATCGTAATTGAGTAAAATATATACTCATTGAAAGCTAGCCGACCTACTTTTGCAAAGGTCTTCATCTAGAATGATTGAAGAAAAGTTAAAGATGAATAATTTCTATTCAAAGTATTTGTTAGCACGTCTCTATCAAGCTCCAATTTTTATAAACTCATTTTTCAGTAAAACCAAACAAGGGCTATATATATGACTAATCGAGACTATTTAGAAACCCGCGTAGTCAAGTAAGCGTTGCAATGAGTTAATGATCCAACTCTTAGATTTGAGTGTGTTTGATGCACATTAAAATGGAAATAATGCATTTTTTTTTTTTTTTTTTGTTATATAATGGTGAATATGTGGTTGAAAAAGAAGGAAAAGTTATTGATGCGATGTAAAATATTATTTTATTGAAAAATGTGTGATTGAAAATTAGT